ACACATTAAAACTTTCATTCAACAATACATTCAAAATCAAAGTCAATTTCAGAGAACTTACCAAGGAAAACCCCCGCTCTGGAGCTCTCTCCCTCTCAACCAGTGCTTTTATGCTCCACACATGGACAGAAAACCAAAGACACACCTTCATACCCATATATGTGGGGAAAGGTCATGGCCTCTGCTGTGCAGGACTGGAAATGTCCAGACATATTCTCCTATGGTATGTCCTAAACCCATTTTGGGGCTTCAGTACTTTTCCATTGAGTCAGGGGTCTCCTGTGCACAGCTTGCTGTGAGTAAAGACAACTGTCTCCCCTCTTTAAACAGTGACACCCATTGTGATAAACTATAATAGGCCTTAAACTCAATTTACCAAACCCCTTGTGTTTGTAAATACTGTGATTATAGAACAACATGAAATATAATGCATTGTTGGTATATTGTAATTTATAAAACGGACAAGTCAAATCAAGCAATCTGATTGGTTCTTAGCCGTGATATACTGAGCGTATACCACGGGTAGAATTGTAAGTTACTTTTCACAACAAGTCAGTATACCGTTGGGCTGAAAAGCAAACTACTGGAACAAGAAAGCAGCGGAGAAGTAACGGGGCAGAAGCCCTCCTTTTTGACGCAGCGGTCCAGACATAGACATCAAACGCCAAAACATATTCAGTGTGCAGTTCCTTTGGCGTCGGGCCGAACCACGCCCCTTAGCTGTGATATAATGAGCATATACCACGGCCTGTCGTGAGCTATTGCTTAAATATATATTGGACATGTTTGTTGTTGTTGATATTTAGGTACAATGTGCACATTATTGCTTCTCTGTCTATATAAATATTTTATTTTATTGAATTTCCTCGTCAGGGTTTTAAAGGCCACCGGCTGCACGACGTCCTCTCCTCGCCCGGAACAGCTGACCTCACGGCTGACGTTGATTTCAGTTTCCTGCGGACGATGATCGGAGGGGGCGTGGCCTGTTTGGGACCTGTCACTCAAAAGATGTTCCTGAAAAACATGGGCATCGACGCCCGCATGGAGGTGAGTCTGACAGACGCTACGTTTTATCACTAAAAACAGTAGATTTAACGGTCCAGAGTGGATATGGATTATTTTAGAGCCTGATAAGACTTAGAAACATTTATGCAAGCATGGGTTGACATCACATTTAGTGGGCAACATGTTTTATTAGGACTATAGCTATTCCTGATTTAGTCTAGTTTTTCTTTTCTTTTCCTAAAACACTGTATAAATGAATATTAGTATATCATATTACCAAAAATGGCCACTGAATGTGCTGTTTACATGTCCACAAAAGCTCCTAAACATTAATTAAATCAAACATGGGCATCGATTCTCGCATGCAGGTCAGTGTTTTTATCACTAATAACAAGAGATATAAGGATAAAAGATTGTTCAATTAAAGGTCCTGAGTGGATATGGATTATTTTTTAGTTTTACAGAACACACACCTCTGATTCTGTGGTTCTGGTTCTCCGCAGGTTCTTCTGAGGAACTGCAGTGACGGGCCCACCCGTATGCAGCTGATCAGAAGCTACGACATGCTGATGAATCCGGAGAAGATGGGCGAGCGCTTCCTGTTCTTCAGTCTGCTGCACCACAGCCGGCTCGCCAAACCCAAAAAATCAGAGGGTATGAAGCTGGAGGATAAGAGACCGGCGCCACTTCCTGTGGGCGGATTCACCGAGATCAGCTTCTCCTGAGACTTTAGAGACTCTGGAGACGTTTACAAGCTCGGGACGGACATTACGGGACATTTCAGAAGATCGTGTTCATGGGACGATACTGTTTGTAAAGCTGACATAAAAAAGTATTTATAAAATGTATAACGCCTCCATTGGACTCCTTTGTTTACTTCCAGAGCTTAGTGGCATCCAGATGTGACACTCATGCTCCTATTGGCTAGCGCTCCAACACATTGTACGTGATAGGCTAAGGGGGCGGGAGATCTCTAAGCAGGTTGACCAATCACAACAGAGCCTGCCAGCTAACCAATCAGAGCAGACTGGGCTCTGGTTTCAGACAGAGGGTGAAAAGAGGGGCTGCAGCACAGACAGTATGAGAAAAAATAAAGGTATTTTTGAACATTAAAGCATGAAAACATAATATGTCCTCTTAAACTTTTACAAAAGAAACAATAAGGTGGAAAATTCATATGCAAGGACGGCAAATGATTCATCTCTGTGCTTAGGATTTCTTAGCCAGGACTGGAAAATCCTCTAGCACTGGCATGTCGTGTATCACCAGAAGCTATTTTCCCTGGAGAAGCTCACCAGCACTAAAAAAAGCTGGAAAATTAAAAGTTACATTTCCTTTTAAGGTCATGTTGAAGCTAAACAGTGCATATGTCAATGAGTGAAACCTGGCAGCTACAGCAGTCAGTAGCAAAGGTGTGTCAGAAATAGACACTGAATCTTTTATGTCTTTCAACACTCAACACCACATTATTAAAGACTTTAAACGCAGCGACAAAGATGCACAGTTATTACAACACACGCTTAGGGATAAAAGCAACTTAGGGTTTTGTTGTTAATAAAAATCAGTTTGTATTTGTCTGCCTCACTTGTTGCAACTTGAAACCAAGAATCTGCCTTCGGTCTTAGAAACACAACACAGACGCTCCACCGTGTACGCAACACACTCACTGAGGAAGCTAGCTAAAATGCTATGACTCTGCACGACATTACATTAATGGGTTTACACGCATCCAAATCTTCACACTGGAGCAATGGATATTTAAAGAAACACTTTATTGAAATATACTTAGTTCTTATTGACTTTCTGTTAGACCAACAGGTCCACTGAGATGTTACTGTAGCCTCGCTTACACAAGGACTGCAGATGTGTGTATATTTCCGCTAGGCTAATGTCCTACAGGAACTAAGGTATCCCTGGACTCTCGGAGAGATCTAATTGATAATGATTTTCTCATCTTACTCCAGCACAGACGCACACTTGCTCTAAGGCTCCAGTTTCTTATTTACACATTCATTTCTCTGCACTGATCCATTGAGTCTGTAAGGCACCGTTATGTGAACAATCAACCACGCGAGATTCAGGGTTGCCAAAACCTAATGAATTATTTGAAAACACTTGCAATGTTTCGGCAAAGGAAGTTATATATAATTTAAAAAAAAGATTAAGACATGTTTAGATTAATTTTTTTATGTTTTGAAATGGGTGGGATCAATCGGGATCAGCTAAGTTGTCAATCGAAAGGTTGTCTCTGTTTATATTAAGCACTGACATTTGTTGTTAGCCTTTAAGCCTCAGTTCCACATTTTTCAAAGGAATTAAGTGTTAAATTATATTTATTACTTATGCTGTCTTATGCGGGATTACTTTTTTTCTATAACTACTTCCTGTTTACACTGCGCCATATAATTACTTGACGACGTTGCCATTACCACAATATTAGCCATCGCTAGCTCCAGTAGTCCAGTCAAGCAGATGGCAGCAAAATAAGTTAACGTTTGATTCAAGATGGCGTGGTTCCTTTAATGCTTTATTATATATTAGTATATGTTATTATGTAATAATTGCATTGCTGTGAGTATCACACAAGCAGTAGGCCGTTAAGCTTTAGGTGAAACATGACAAGCAAGTCAAGAAAATATTTGATATGTTGATGAAACCAGTGCCTGATTGATGACAGGGATAATCTGTGTGATTGACAGCTGTCAGTTACTGACCTTGGCATGAGCGTTCGTCAGTGAGCAGTTTGTGTCCTTTCTGGCAGCTGCATTCGAAGGAGCCCACTGTGTTCTTGCAGAAGTGATCGCAGCCTCCGTTGTTCTCCAGGCATTCGTCGATGTCTGGGTGGAGACGATAACACATTTCAACAATCCATGTTTGTATATCACAAATTAGTTAGACATATAATATTTCTGTACATTTGATGCTATATGACAGAGAAATACTCAGACATACTGTATACACATCTGCTGTCATGTCATTTAACAAACACACTTGCGTTGCGAGCTTGTTTAACAGATCACCAGCAGGCAGCGTGGAATCAGTGATTGGAGGTTAGGCTCAGGGCTTGTTCATAGCGATCCCACTGTCTAAGGCGCATTCACACCGTAGATACGGTAGTTATCTGGAACTAATGGAGTCTAACTTCTGTCAGAGAGAAAGAGGAGAGAGACTATCATTGAGAAATCTATAAAAGCTTCTTTTTTTTACTGTGGGTGACGACCAATGAAAGGGTTTATTGTTACCTTTTTATATCTGTCATCAACCATCATGATGGATCAACTGGAAACATTTTTTGACAATGTTTTTATTTATTTTTTATTTTGTACGCTCATATTGAGGGATAAGAAGCAAAGGTTCATGAATTTGGGATTTGTACCAAGTCTTGATCATGTCAAGAAGAGAGAGCTGATAACAGCCTCCTTTCAGCCTGATATATACCTATTTTTCAGTTCATTACAACGTGTAATAAATCATAAAGCGGATTTACAAACAACTCTAAAACTGGCAGCACTTTGAGAGTAAAACATTGATTTAAGCTACTTTCAAAAGCAGTATGAGAAGCTGTTAATATGCTGACAACAATTTACATATCTAACAAACATATAGACAGCTCTGTGATCACGGGAGCGAGTGTCTGCTGAATCCCTGTGGAATGAACCCTGTATACCTGAGCTCCAGCCCAGGTGTGCTAAAGACTTCCAGAGGAGCAGATTCTAAAATAATAATGAGGCTATAGCCCGAGGCAGCATGTTCAGCGCCAACTGAAAATCTGCAGGCTCCACTAATCCCAACCATCCAAACCTCACTCCCTGCCTCATCCCGTCCTCAGTGCCCTCGCATGAACCCAAACTGCATATCATCACTTCTTATGAATACATTTAGCTTCTCCTCATCTCTCAATTAAAGTGATGATCAGATCATTCCATTTGCTGCTTGAGAAGAAGGTGAGATCAGCCTGTGGAGGTGGAGAGGAGCAGGAGGAAAGGAGGTGTGAGAAGGGACAATAGTCTGGCAGATTACACAGGCTAAACCTTTTTTGATTGGTGCTCTAAGTGATGAATATTGTGAGGGATTAACAACTAAACCCTTGAGCTGGGGAGTAACTCAGGCAAGACACCATGGAGAGAGAAGTAGAGGAGGGGAGTGGGGGGGAGAGGAAGAAGGAAGGAGGTGGGATACAATCAGTAGTGTGTAAATTGTGGCTTCCGAGGCTATATGTACACTGCATTTATTTAGTCTTAATTTTTGAGTATCTCAATAAATTCAGCTATTAACGGGGTCAGGAGAAGGTGGCAGGAGCACATAGAGGTCCAGTCAACACGCACACACAAATGGCCCTCAGTGTAGCGTGATACCAGCCCTTATAAAACATCCAGTAACTAAGCCACTGTGTGTTTCCATCGGGTAGATTCTGGCCTCTCTGGCCTGATCCTCTCGCTCTGTATCCTCAGGGAGCTTCTGCTGAATGAACTCTTCATCTAAATATGGAGCCGAGACAGGAATCCACAAGGAGGAGGCCGCGGTAAAAATGTAGTAAACTGTATGTCCCGCTTTGCCCTGTCCGCGCACTTTTAAAGGGATTGTCCCTCCGTCTGGCTCGGCTAAAACGGATTTCCCCGTTGGCTGGCGGGATGAAAGTGAGGCCATGGGGTTTTTTAAGGAGAGCGGGCCAAGTAAGGGTGTACCCCTAAGTTAATGTAATTAGAAGTATTTAGATTGGTTAGCTCCTAAAAATATATCTCTTAGTTTATTACTAAATCGCCTCTTGACTTTCACTGTAATTTTTATTTGCAGTAGATTACAGCTTTCTGTTTTTTATTTTGGCAAATGTTTGAAATTCAGCAACTTTATGTCTCAATAACAAAAGTCAAGTAAGTTAAAGGTAGAAAGTAAATGGGGGGCAAAAGTAGAGGTTTAGGGAGGCGTCATTAAAACCTACTTTTGGGCCTTGTAATACAAACACAGTTCTTGATCCTGCCAAGAATAGGGAGCTAAAATACAGTTTAGCCTGATATATACTTACTTCGAGGTTTATTACAACACGTTGTGAACCTTTAATATGCAAGTAGAAAGCCACTCTAACACTCGCAGCACTTTGATAGCAAAAATGTAATGGAGGCTGTATTGATTTTTCTTTTTCCTATTTGACCCTCTTTTGTTATTCATGTCCAACCTGCAGCACCGTCTGCCAAAGGATTGAAATCAATAATATCCATATTTCTGTTATTTTCCTCGACAGTAGCTTGTTAGGCCACGTTAATCTCTACCTGTGAGACAGCAGGAGGGATGGCTAGCTGCGGGTTACAAACATACGCAGTCTTTCAAATCCTGAGACTACATGATTTTTTTTCTCAAGACTAGGCATTTGGAAGTTTTTCTGCTCCTGAATCTTGTGGATTGAAATGAATCAGAGACCACAGAAAGAAAAGCTTCAGGAGTGAGGAAATGTGGATTCTCCAACCAGGCATGTTGTTAAGAAAGACATATGCGCAAACAAACAAACGCCATCCTACAACATTCCCTCTGCCCACATCGTCTCCGCTCTAATGCCTATGTAAAAACAGTGGATACCACCCCTGGTCTAACCCAACACAGACAGACACAGCTTCGTAATTATTCTGGCAGCCACAAACACTGGCAGAACCAGCGCTTTCTACCCACACTTAATGGCCACTCTGGGGATGACTGAGCCTTATAACGGGGTATATAATTACCTTTAATGGAGCTTAAATAAGCTTTGAGTTTAAATAAATACATTAAGCCTCCGCACATCTTGAAATGATAAAGTTTGGAGAAGAGGGAGAAGACAGATAAAAGCCAGTAAGGAGAGTGGGTGAAGGGGGAATGG